TGGCCCACTCCTCCACACAGAAGCACTACGGTGCCGGCTGGCTCAGCATGGCCAATGCTGGCAAAGACACCAACGGTTCCCAGTTCTTCATTACCACAGTCCAGACTCCATGGCTGGACGGCAAACACGTCGTCTTTGGAAAAATTCTGGAGGGAATGGTGAGTGTCAGGCCTGTCGGTCACATACATAGATTACTGTCTAAGGTACAAATAGGGGGGAAGTTAAAGAAGCCAATCTGATAGGGTCTAGCTTGCTGCCAGCTCAGACATCCCTGTAGTGTTTTTGAAATCCTAAAAATCACAATTTCAGACTACAGTTAAATAGACCATAGTTTCCTGCACTCTACCCTCATTGTTCAGTAGTGATCAAGCAAAGGAAGTGTTTAAAATTCACAACTTTTTAAATGAAGTGGAGTTTATACCAAAAAGTTCTATCTTTTTCCTCATCTGACCACATGACCTTCTCCAACACGGAGTTTCAGCTCCCTCCATAGATTTTCTATTGGGTTCAGGTCTGGAGACTGGCTAGGCCACTCCAGGACCTTGAAATGCTTCTTACCGAGCCACTCCTTAGTTGCCCTGGCTGTGTGTTTGGGGTCATTGTCATGCTGGGGTCATGTTTGGGGTCATTGTCATGCTGGTAGACCCAGCCATGATCCATCTTCAATGCTCACTGAGGGAAGGAGGTTGTTGCCCAAAATCTCGCGATACATGGCACCATCCATCCTCTCATCAATACGGTGCAGTCGTCCTGTCCCCAAAGCATGATGTTTTCACCCCCATGCTTCACAGTTGGGATGGTGTTTTTGGGATTGTACTCATCCTTCTTCTTTCTCCCAACACAGCGAGTGGAGGTTATACCAAAAAGTTCTATTTTGGTCTCATCTGACCACATGACCTTCTCCCATGCCTCCTCTGGATCATCTAGATGGTCTTTGGCAAACTTTAGACGGGCCTGGACATGTGCTGGCGGTGCAATTAATACAGGCAATGAGTGGAGGACAGGAGGGCTTCTTAAAGACAAGCTAACAGGCCTGTGAGAGCCAGAATTCTTGCTGGTTGGTAGGTGATCAAATACTTATTTCATGCAATAAAATGGAAATTATTTAAAAATCTAAATGATTTACTGGAATTTTTTTGTAGATTTTGTTTCACAGTTGAGGTGTACCTACGATGAAAATTACAGAACTGTCCATTCTTTAAGTGTAACTTGAAAAATCGGCAGTGTATCAAATACTTATTTGCCCCACTGTACATATTTTTCATTAGGGTAAATTTCAACCCAAAATGGAAACCGCACATAAACTTGTTTTTTCTCACTCTCTTGGTACCCAGTCTGACCATATGGCCAGGATTCTCCACTACCATTTTGAATTATGAGTCAGCCGTCATGCTGTGTACAGATGTGACCCACAAGGTGATGCGTAGTGAGACTGTCCTCGACTTTTTAACCAGCCTGAGGCAGAAGCATACGGGGAGCCAGTTCACTGAGATGTGCGAAAAGGAGCTTATTGGACTCATAGTCCTTACAAAGTAAGATCATTAATCTTATGCTGGGTTCAGACTGCACCATTTTTGTTTGATACACTGTCAGATTAAAGAGTTGTTACTTTTGCTGTGACTTGGATAAGGGATATGATAGGATGGTACCCGACAAATTGCAGCCTGCCTTTGTTCTTGACTTGCATTAAAGAGGTGCCAGGGACCGGGAGAATGTAAATAACAGAATAGCACCTGAAGCGGTGTGAGAGATGTTGGCTGCTTGTGTTTGGAAAGGCATTAAAAAAAAAATGAAAGGGAACAAAAGGACTGCAGACTGTCCATGGGACACATGAAGAGGGCAGTTTAGGTTGTCTGTGCTTCTTGGAGAACTTGAGGTAGCGGTTAAATGTAAGTGTTTTAAGCCGGTAGTATAACTGACGGCTAGTTAGCTAGCTCTGATGTGCCAGGGACCGGGAGAATGTAAATAACAGAATAGCACCTGAAGCGGTGTGAGAGATGTTGGCTGCTTGTGTTTGGAAAGGCATAAAAAAATTAAAGGGAACAAAAGGACTGCAGACTGTCCATGGGACACATGAAGAGGGCAGTTTAGGTTGTCTGTGCTTCTTGGAGAACTTGAGGTAGCGGTTAAATGTAAGTGTTTTAAGCCGGTAATATAACCGACGGCTAGTTAGCTAGCCCTGAACCTATACCACTTCTTCTGTTGCTGTACAATTCTTAGGTACAACAACAAAACCTACAGGATTGATGGAATTGCATGGGATCAGTCACCCATCAACACATTCTTGAGGGGAAACACTGAAGTTTCCTTCGTGGACTACTACAAGTCTGTATGTATCACACACTTGGCAATATTTGATGCAAACCTTTTTGCCTCAAGAAATGCACAATGATTCAGACAAATATATTTAAAAAAAAAAGCAATTACTGTATTTCTATAAAGGACTTGGCATTGAGCATAAATTACAAAATAACTGTAGGGACTTGATGAAATGATGCTTCCTTGAACATTGAATGGGGTACATATAAGTGTTTATCTCACATATTTGATGCAAACCTTTTTGCCTCAAGAAATGCACAATGATTCAGACAAATATATTTAAAAAAAAAAAAAGCAATTACTGTATTTCTATAAAGGACTTGGCATTGAGCATAAATTACAAAATAACTGTAGGGACTTGGTGAAATTATGCTTCCTTGAACATTGAAGGGGGTACATATAAGTGTTTATCTCACACACAGGCCCCTCCTTTTCATGTTAAACTCAAATATTTATACTTTTTGTTCTAAGCAATATGGCCTGGAGATCTCTGATAGGAGTCAGGTGCTGCTCATCAGCCATGTGAGGAAGCGGAGTCCTGCTGGAGCCCCTCCTCCTGGCCCAGCCTTGCTCGTCCCAGAGCTGTGCTACCTTACAGGTTACCATCTCATATTTTGCACTATTTTACTTGGGTCATTATCTTAAACATTTATATATGTAGACATTCAGAGTGTCACTCTGTCACAATAAGTGGCCACTTTCACTCCAAGTGTTTGTCATTTGTCTAAGGCAGATGCCTTTTGAAGGGGACGTATGTGATTGTTGGCTGTGTGTGCTACTAAAAGGGCACCGCAAATACAACACAGTGAAAAAGTGACACTTTCAATGCCTATATCTGTATATCTCAGAAATGTATGGCTTCACCTTCAGCATCTTTGTAGTATCAAATGTGCATCATAACAGACACATTTTACTGAAAGGTTGTGGTTATTAGTGACATCATTTAATTACAGGAAAAACTTGCCTTAAAAAGGTGAACAGCATCATTATGGACCCATCTCATCCTGGTCATTCTTTGTTTGAGCTGCTACCATCAGACAATACTGAACAATAAAAACAAGGACAAACAGACTGAAAAGCACTTTTTATCCCAGGGCAGTACAAGCACTAAATGCAGTGCGATACCGCAAATACAACACAGTGAAAAAGTGTGACACTTTCAATGCCTACATCTGTATATCTCAGAAATGTTTGGCTTCACCTTCAGCATCTTTGTAGTATCAAATGTGCATCATAAAAGACACATTTTACTGAAAGGTTGTGGTTATTAGTGACATCATTTAATTACAGGAAAAACTTGCCTTAAAAAGGTGAACAGCATCATTATGGACCCATCTCATCCTGGTCATTCTTTGTTTGAGCTGCTACCATCAGACAATACTGAACAATAAAAACAAGGACAAACAGACTGAAAAGCACTTTTTATCCCAGGGCAGTACAAGCACTAAATGCAGTGCGATAAGGGGTAGCGTAATGTAGTATGAGATTCTTGGAATGTTGTAAGGGATATGCGTTAGGGTCATGTTTTTATTGCTTGTAGATATTCTATTTAGTCTGTTTGGATGTTGTTGATCCATGGTAAACTAAGTTAAATTTATTTAGTGTTTTTTTTTTTTTTGGCAGGGCTGACTGACCAGATGCGAAATGACTTCAAAATCATGAAGGACTTGACCAGCCACACTAAACTGGAGCCGGAAGTGAGAGACAGACGCCTCAGCAGTTTTGTCACCAATATACGGAGGTATGTGATAATCACCATGTCACTGAGTTAACCATTTGATGATTATTTTATTTGTACTGTAGACAAGTTTCATAGTCAGAAATACACACATTCACATTAATTGAAATCTGGCAACACTAGAGACATTCAAGCAATTATAGCTTGATGCCAGCATCTAATATGAGAAATATTAAAGACGTACTGGCTGTATTGTCAAAATTTATGGTCCGTTTTCTCAGTTGGGCTAATTGACACAATTAGCCCAACTGAGAAGACTGAGTATAGTGTGTAAATTTGACTTGATGGCACTTAAAATCTTAACTGCTTTATTAGCTCTGCTTGGCAGTGAAAAGTTGTCATCACACACAGAATTTCATTAGCATTAAATCAACTACTTTTGCCTGTTGAAATACAGTAATCTAAATATTTAATTGTTCATGAAGGCACTGTACTGTTTTACCTCAAAATTCTCATCTTAGCCATTTTGCAATTGTCTGTATGTACAGAATATTACAAATTTTCATGTCAGCATTATTATCCCAGACTTTGATTTAAATTGTGAAAATGATTGCATAGGAATCGTGATGCACAGGCAGAGTTGGATAAGTGGGGACTGAGCTTTGATGACCAACTCTTGAACCTGACTGGCAGAGTCCTCCAAACAGAAAAGATTTTCCAGGCATCAAGATCGGTATAATATGATTAACTAAATTTGCTCTCTTGAATGAATTAAATTGATTTATTAATATGATCTTAATTGAAGATTAACACAATTTGTCACCTAGTATGACTACGATCTCCGGACAGCTGACTGGAGCAGACAGATGCGTGGGATACCTCTGACCAAATGTCCTCCACTGAATAACTGGCTCATGTTTTACACCCGTCGTAACAGCACCGAAGCGCAGTCCCTCCTGCAAACCCTCGACAAAGTCTCAGGTCCACTCGGTGTCCGCATGCAGAGAGCTGTCATGTGAGTTTAATAAATTAATTTTGTTACACAGTCCAAAACGGTGTTCCTGCAATAGCCTACATAAGAAGGAAATAACTGCATCAGTAAACAAACTATGATTTTTGAAGGTGTTTTTCCCTGTAGGGATCACAAAATAACTGCATCAGTAAACAAACTATGAATTTTGAAGGTGTTTTTCCCCGTAAGGATCACAGTAATTTGAACATGATGCTAATGCATTTAATCTATAGGTGCTTTTTAATACAATGTAACTCTGGGAAATGGCTTAGGATGTCAGTCATTTGAACGTTTGATATAGAATTGAAAGCCTAATGTTTTCATGATATTCATAGTCACCGTATTGAATGGTTAAATATTGAGTTGTTTTGAGGAGGGCAAGATTGTTCAGTCTGCATTCAGTGGTTATGGTGGTTACGTAATAATCTAAGACGGTGGTCACCAACTAAAATTACATTAGTTCCTGTCAGCAGCATCTTGAATCAAGATCCAGACAAACATTTGTTCAATGTTTTCAGCATAGATTTTTCCCTGTTATGCCTCCACATGTAAAGTTTTATAAAACAAGAGCATTCAGAGAATGCATGTTCCTCCACTAAGGCACAACTTAGTGCCTTAGTGGAGGAACATGCACACAAATGGGTTGCTTGTGAAAAATGAAATCCAGAACACAAAATGATACTTATAATGTGCATCTTACTTCAGGGTTCTAATTCATTACAGGCCAAGTTATGGCAGAAAATAAATGGAGTTTTCAATTTTAACTTTAAATGGCTGTCAGATCTGGAATCTGCATCACATCTGGATGAAATTTGGTGTCTGTCTGGTGATGGACATTGACACCCTACATACGTGTCAAATTGCAAACAAAAAGTTAATTATGTAACTTTTGATCAGGATTTGTTTTTATTTTGCCCCATGTTAAAGATGGATTTCGTTTTTTTTATGACCTTTTATTTTGCCCCATGTTAAAGATGGGTTTTTGTTTTTTTATGACCTTGACCTTTCTCAACCAAAATCTAATCACTTCTGGGGTGCCCTTGAAGATTTCAGAAAAGCTGAAAGTGTTGATATCTAAGTTTAACTTTGGTTTTTGATTTAAACATTGTGATTTATTCTGTATTAATATTAATCGTGTAATTTGTTCTCATATCTTTCTGCATATACAGTAATGGCCAAAAATATTGGCACCCCAGCATTTATCAGATAACACTTAGAACCACCTAAAAAATTGTTGCAATTACAAATTCTTTGATATTCTCATATTTATTTCTTTTGCCTTGGAACAAAGCAAAGAAGCAGGGGGGAAAAGAGCAAAGAATTGTCTGAGGATCTGAGAACCACAATAATGGGAAAACCCTGGATAGTCTCAAGGTTACAAGTCCAGCTCCAGAGGTCTGGCTGTTCCTGTGTTCACTGTGCGCAACACTGTCAAGAAGTTACAGCCCATGCCACTGCAGCTAATCTCCCTGGACGTGGACAAAAGAGGAAAAAAATAGATTGCAACGAAGAATTGTTGGAACGGTGAATAAAGAACCCTAATCTACTTCCAGATTCAAGCTGACCTGCAGGCACAGGATGCAACAATGTTGGCTCGCACTAACACTCACCATCTGAATGACAAGGGACGCTATGGTAGGACACCTAGGGGGCCCCCACTGCTGACACAGAGACAAAAAGCCAGACTGGAGTTTGCCAAAACATGGAGGAATCCACAATCCTTCTGGGAGAATCCTGTCAACAGATGAGACTAAAATAGAGGTTTTTGGTCGAGCACTTCATTCTACTGTTTTCTGAAAGAACAAGGTCCCTACAGTCAAAACACTGTGGCGATTCACTGATGTTTTGGGGTTGCTTTGCTGCTTCAGGCACCTGATGTCTTGACTGTGTGTACTGTGTGTGTACTACCAGTGGATTTTGGGTCACAATGTAGGGCCCAGTGTCAGGGGCCCATTGTCAGGAAGCTGGTCTTGGAGCAGAACAATAACCCAAAGCAGACTTAAAAAACAAAAAAAAAAAACACCAGAAATGTTTTCAGTGCACTGGAGAGTTCTGAAGTAGCCAACAAGGAGTCCAGATCTAAAATCCCATAGAGCACCTGTGGAGAGATCTCAAAACAGCAGCTGGGAAAAGGAACCCTTCAAATGTGAGAGACCTGGAGCAGTAGGCAAAAGAAGAGTGGTCCAAAATTCCAGTAGAGAGGTGGAAGAAATTCACTGGCTACAGAAACTGATTTCATTAATTTTGTCCAGGGGAGTGTGCTACAAAATATTAAGTTGAGGGTGTCGATAATTTTGCCCATTCTATTTTTGGAGTTCTGTGGAATGGATCAGGTTTGGCTTTTTGTGTGTGTGGTGTTCCAATGCAAACAAAAGAAACATTAATACCAAAGAATTTTCTGGGAAAAATGATGTTATTTGACAGAAATGCAGGGGTGCCTATAATTTTGGTTATTTAGTTTTATCTTGATTTAAAAAAAAAAAAAAATTGTTTTGCACTCTTGAGTTGCACAAAACCGGTTTGAAAAGTGCCATATATACTAAGCCTGAATGATTGATTTTGGGAGAACATAAAGTGCTAATTTGTGTTCTTTGACACCCTCCTCCCTTCATTTGACCATTTGTGGATGTGTTTGTAGAAAAGTATTATAAAGGTGCATTTGTGAACACAATTATTTTTTTCCTCATAAGACACTTCTGAGTTTGGTTTGTTTTTCTCACTTGCTGGCAGACCTGCCCTGCTTTCACACAAGCGGCAATTGAAGGAGAGAGACAGCTCTGTGAAGCTTGCCACGCTGCACTTGTTACAATAAAACATTTTAATGAGAAACACTGTTCTCTGGATAGAGACCTCTTTGGGTCCACATCCGGACTAAAGTACATTTGGTGATCGATTGTCTAAACTGGGGTTTTTTTGTTTTTTGTTTTTTTTTTGTTGCTGTTTTTAAATTCAGGATCGAGTATGAGGATCATCCGGAGGCTCTCATCAGAGCCCTGCAGCACAATGTTGGGTCACAAATGGACATGGTTGGTGCTTAAATATATCGTGTACAAGTACAAACGATCAGAGGTCTGTACCGCGATGAGCGTTCAACTTAGTCTGGCTCACTTTGGGTTATCAGGCTTCACAGAGCCTAACATTGAGCATCCTAGATAACTGGGACCACAAAGACAGTTGTCAGCTGGCTCTGTTAAGTCTGGGAATCTTCCTATCTGGCTGGCTAGGAGCACATTAATGTGAAAGAGGAGTTAATTAGAAGTGACACTGCCAGAACCATGCATTGTAGTACTGAATATAATGAGACTGATACCCACAGGGAAAATGATTTTTAGCCAAAGCAAAAAGTGATATTGTGGTGAGTGAACTGTGAATAGTAGGCTATAGTCGTATAACAGAATAAGAAGCTATACAAACACTAGAAGTAACTCATTAAGGAAAGAATATTCCTTACAGTAGTGTAGTATAATAAGGGTCTTATTCAATAAGTACCTCATTTAGTCACTGGAAATAGTTAAGTGTATGCATTTTTCTAATTTAAAAAATTGTCTGCTGCTGTGAGTGGACCCTGGAAAAATATCGACAGTCAGGCATTCTGTCTAGAATCAAATCTTGTGCATTTAAGTGTTTATCAGAGGGTCCTTATTTTTTTAGAAACCGCTTTAAACTAGTGTCCCACAAAATGCCTGATGCAGCACAATGATATGACTGGTCTATAGAAGAAAAATATCACATTAAAGTAAACTGTTATCCTTGTCCGGATTCTGTGGGAATGATTCCTCAGTTTTTCCCCAGTGATCTGGTTGGTCAGTACTCCGGGATGTTGACAGCTGTTTATTCAATCCTCTGAAGGTGACCTGCTCTAAAGCAGGTTAGCCTTGCACAACAAGTTATAATGATCTAGCCCACATTTATAAGTGAGCCAGCTTCATGGTGCTGGAAAACCTGAGCCCAAAGTTAGCTGGATAAGCCACTATTCTCTCCTTGTGGTACAGGCCAGAGTTGATATTTATTAGTTTTGACATTGTCCTCTTGTTTAGTCAGTGCTGCGGCATGTTTTGTGAACCATGGATGAACTTGATTATATTTAATCTTGTCTGTATGTTTTGTGTACCTGTGTTTTGGTTTGGCAAAGAGAGATATTAACGAGGCAATACAAGACCTTTTAGAGTTTTCTGTTTGTTAGGTGGTGGTGATCCTCTCCAGTAGCAGACAGGACAAGTACAGCGGTGTCAAGAAGTACCTCTGTGTGGATTGCCCCACACCCAGCCAGTGTGTGTTGGCTCGTACCCTGAGCCGACCTCAGACACTCATGAGTGTGGCTACAAAGATTCTGCTGCAGATGGCTTGCAAGATGGGAGGAGAGCTCTGGAGCGTGGAGATTCCTGTAAGTTGCATGCACACTAAGTGGTATATTAAAGAAAACTAAGCTGTGTTAAGGGAACAAGAATTAAGCTGTTCTTGACCAGATGAGCTGACAGATGTTTTAAAGCAGCGAGTATGCAACTGGCACTATGTAATGTCTAAATTGTATCAAACACTAAATGGAATGTCACAAGTGAATATCAGTTGTGGCATTTGTGAAGCTGTGATCACAAACTAAAATTTACAGCCATGGAGCAATGTTGGTCATTGTGTGGAATCTTGGTATGGGAGGGAGTTGATGGGAGAGCCATCTGAACTGAATGAGCTATGGAGGTGCTGCTTAAAGATGATGCACGTGCTGCACTCACTCCAAGCTGTGGGACCATGTTAAGAGAAAATACAGTAGGTGGCTATCATGATAAAATAGCCTACAGTGTATCATTACAGCAAGAAAATAGTGTCGTAATAATGCGAATGTTATAACCTGAAAATATCTCGTAAAAATAAGCAAAGTATCTTATTATGAGAGGCACTTCTTGTTAAGACAAAATTTACACTGCCATAGGCACTTCTTGTGCGTACTATGAAGTATAATCCTGCAGACACCACTGATAATAATTGTAGACAAATCCTGCATCACTTTGCATATGTGGATGTTTTTTTTGTATTCAAACAGCTGAGCTGTTGTACACTGACTCACACACAGTGGGCACGGTGTCGCTACTGGGAATGAATGAATTTTAAGATGAACATTGAAGTGCAGAGCAGGCATCATGTTGGTTTAATTTTGATGCCTTAAAAAGAGTATTGGGAGTTTTTAATTTCATCCAATGTTAACATGATACAACTTCAAAGAAGGCTTGGAACAAGGTTATGCACAATAGCCTACAGTATATGATGCAGGAGGAATTATTCTTTGCTGTCATTTTGCTGTAACGTGGGACATGTTTTGCATTTTGGAATGCTGTAATGTATTGAGATGTGAAGCCAGTATGTTAAAACACACCCAGTAGGCTGCCATTCTGAAATCCCCAGAATATGTCCTAGCATGAACAAAAGAGAAAATGAAGATGGCTTTCACCTAATCTGTTTTTTTGTTTTGCTGGTGCAAGTTAATATGTGATCAGTAAAATGTTCCCAGTCAGATTTTTTTTTCCCCACCAAAATATCAGATCTTCCAGCACATGACTCTCATAAGTTTTAAGAGAGAGAGAGAGCAAGCGCAAAACTTTTAACAAGTTTAATTATGGTTATGTGTTGACTCACAAGACTTAGTTTTGAAAAAAACTTGAACAGCTTCAAATTAAACTTTAGAACAGAATTTTAAAAGGAACCAAACTCAGGCTACTGGTGTGAAAACACAGCACTTTGTGCTTCGGCCATACTCCCTCCCTCACTTTGGCCCCCTACTGTAGTGTAGGAAAATGCAGCTCTATATAGGAACTTCATTTTTAGAAGAATGCCTCTGTTTTTGGCCAAAGTTGGCCCTAAAATGCAGAAAAAAGTCTGAGGTACTATTCAGGGGAGCAGAGCCTGAGAGCGACTGTCTCTTCCGTAGCGTAGACTTGATAACCTTGATTTAACAATGAAAAAAAACATACATAATGCAATAATTGCCATTGCCTTGATGACTCAACAGGTGTACAAGGTCTGAGCATTTAAGCGTAATGAAATATGTAGGCAGCCACTGCCAACCAAGTGCCTCAGCTCCGTGAAATATGTAGGCAGCCACTGCAAACCAAGCGCCTCAGCTCCGTCTGGCGTAGCTACTATAGTCATCCACCAGCAGTTCTGGATATTAACAGAAGGATCAAATTATCACTCGGCCGCTATGGTAAATCTGGATATTAACAGAAGGATCAAATTATCAGTCGGCCGCTATGGTAAGCTACTACAAAAACTGCTTCACCTTGTGGATATATTCAGTACTGCAGGCAGCTTAAACACATGATGCTTGCGATAAAGAGGTGGAGTGGTGATCAGTGCATCGTCACAGGGGCAGTGTACAGACCTGTTGCGAATCAGCCATGTTCCACCGCGATCCAGCCAGCAATTTAAGATGACTGCATCTGCAACTTTTCGGAAATTATGGCCGCTTAGCGCCTTTGGGGCACCATAGCCTGATCTGGGGTTTTGTAATAAACTGTCACCAGTACAGCCGTGTCTTTCTTGTGTTAATTATTTCTGAACAATAACAGTTTATCGTACAGGCAAACAAGCTAATCCAGTCTGATAGCTGACAGACATTAACCATGAGTAGAGCCGATTCGTTGTCGGTCTGTCTCTATGCCGATTGTTGAAAATACTATTAAGAAAATGACTGGTCTTATCCTTTAAAGGATGCTTGCTGTTTTGTCGGTCTGTCTCTATGCCGATTGTTGAAAATACTATTAAGAAAATGACTGGTCTTATCCTTTTAAAGGGTGCTTGCTGTTTGACTTGCCTAACTTGTCCTGTGTATTTGCACAGCTTAAACAGCTGATGGTTGTGGGCATTGACTGCTACCATGACACTGCTGCTGGGAAAAGGTCCATTGGAGCTCTAGTGGCCAGCCTCAATCAGACCATGACCAGGTTAGCATCTGCAGCAGAGACTGGCAACTGTGTGTTGGAGGGCTGTGTTAAGTTTTTCCATACTCTACCTTCTGAATTAGGCTGCGCTTAGTGTTAATGCAGATGTCTGCATTGGTCATAGTTGTTTTGGCAGCTTGTCATAATATACCCAGTAAGAAGTATGACAATTAATTTTGTTAAGGTGGTTCTCCAAGTGTGTGCTGCAGCGCAAAGGTCAGGAAATCATGGATGGTCTGCGGATGGCCTTGAGTGGCAAGTTACTTTCCTATTTAATTTTTCAGTGTTCTGTTTAATTTGAAGTTGCATGTAAATCCATTATCAGTAATTTGAGAACTGTCATCACTTTGTATTTGCTTTCCAGCTGCACTAAAGGACTATCATAAGTTCAACAGCTGCCTTCCTTCACGCATCATTGTGTACCGAGATGGGGTGGGAGTTGGCCAGCTGCATAGTGTGGTCGACCATGAGGTTGCACAGATCATGGAATCCATCAAGTCTATGGGAGATGAATATCTGAGTGTAATGGCAAGGGTTTTTGGTTTTGAAAGCTGCTTCACTTAGAAACTGTTAATCTCCGCTGTGAAGCTTCGGACAAGTTGTTTGTGAATTGCATTAAGAACAGCAGGTGCTAAAACATGTCATGCCACTAGCCAATCAGCTTGTATTGAGTCTGGCTGGAGTATGAGCTGTTTTGTACTTTCATATTAGTTGCTGAGTCGAGGAGCTCAAACACCAAAAGAACTTCAACCAACCAAAAATGTAAGAGTTTCTCCATCTGCTTGTCTTAGGCCCAGGCTGAGTGTGGTGGTGGTGACGAAGCGTATTGCCACCAGGGTCTTTGCCAACATCGGTGGCAAGGTGTCCAACCCTCCCACAGGCACCATCATTGACTCGAAGGTCACTCGTCCAGAGTGGTGTGTTTTGTAGTTGGTCTTGCTGCTTTTGATTTTGCATTGAGTAGCAGCGGTATCTGACTATTGCAACCTTTGATTTCCAGGTATGACTTCTACATCGTAAGCCAGGCTGTCCGTGAAGGATGCATCGCCCCAACCCACTACAATGTCGTGTATGACACTAGCGGACTGAAGCCTGATCATATGCAGCGGCTTACTTACAAGCTGTGCCACATGTACTACAACTGGCAGGTAGGTTAGCTATGAATTCATCCTGCTTGACTGCACTCATAAGTTTGTGTTTACAGCATTTGTGTAATTGCACTGAACTAGGCCTTTTCAGCACAGGATTGCTGGGTATAACCTGAAATTGTCATTTAAGAATAAATTATCAGAGCAGAATCGTTTAGGCCAGTATTGGTAGTCAAAGAATGATTTAGGTGTAATTTTTTTTGTAACTTTTAAAAATTTTCAGGGGATCATCCGAGTGCCTGCTCCCTGCCAGTACGCTCACAAGTTGGCTTTCCTTGTGGGTCAGAGTATCCACAAGGAGCCCAGTCTGCAACTGGATGAGCTGCTCTTCTACTTGTGAGGATGAAAAATGAGCAAATAGTTCAGTTCTGTTTCTGTTACTTTGTGATAGCACATTCAATCTAATGCAATGACTCAACCCTGATTTATGGTTCTGTGTTGAATCTAGGCAGAGCCCAACACCGTAGGCTATGCGGGTTGCAGCGTAGGGTATGAGGCTACAAATTACCTGTGCTGCAAGTGCAGCATAGATTCAGTGCAGAACCATAAATCAAGCCTAAGGCTATGTACACATTGCAGGCTTTAAATTCCCAGTTTGATTTGTCAATTTGATGTTAGTTCATATTTGTGCCACGTTGTTTTTGAATTAAATATTTCAGTGGTATGCAAATGTTAATGCAAATATAAGTTGTTGTCAGTGCAAATATAAGTTGGGTTTTGCCTTTTAAAGGAAAATGTTGCAGTAAATGATGTTCATATTGTAGGGGAACCTATAGTACAACTTTGTTTTAACACAAGTGCTTTGATTGGTACAGTGTAGCAGAGGTTCTCCATAGAGGGTGGTAAAACTGTTGAAATGGTTCTAATAAACATTTTTGTTTGTCATTTGTGTTTTAAGTTAATCAAACATGCAAACATTACAAAATATCAAATTTATTTGTTTTATAAAAGATTGCACATGCACACCCACACAGTAATTTATAACAATCAATATAGGCTGATAATTATTGGCATAAAGCTAGCACACATTTGCAGACTTTTAAACAATATGGTCTTCAAGACACCATGGGGAAAGCTTGCACTGTTGGATTATAAAGTTAAATGTACAAAAAAGGCAGTTTTAAAATCAAGTATAAACATTTAAAAACAATTTTACAAATGGACCAAGTACAAAAAAGCAACAGTCAATCAAAATGAATAGAAGCAATGCAAGGACATGGTCCACAAGTAAAAGATGTATATCAGGTTAGCGTTGTTTGGCCAAGAGTTGTACAGAAGTTACTACAGAATGTTTTGCATACTTTTTTAAATTTATTTTTTGGCAGTTTCAGTTCGGCTCTTGTTTTAAAAAAAAAAAAAAAAAAAAGCTACGTTTTAAGAGTACATGAGAGGATGAAATGGGAAAAGGAGCAGTGAGGAAAGGAAAGTGGACCATTACATTTCATGTGCGGCCATCTGCACTGTCCTCTTGGGCAGCTTTGAAAAATGCATTGGCTTTCAATTAATCATACATTTGCTACTCTACATTGTGTGTGTGTGTGTGTGTAGATATAGATAGATATATAGATGTACAGTACAGTATTATCCTGCACCAGCATAACTTGGGACAACAGGCATCAACAGATTGGCTTAAAGAACATGTTTGCGTAGAAGGGTGGAGGGGCAGTGACGAGGTAGTACTGTGAAAGGAGTCAAACTTATTGTAGTGAAGCCCATATAAATGTTGCATGTTATGAACCAAAGCAGTACAAAAACGGGACCTAATTTGCTGATGCTATATGACCGCTATTTTGTAGTTGGTTTTACATTGGCTGTGGATCAGTAAAATGTCAAACTGAAAAGTAATGTCCATTGATTTACTCAGTAATGTGGTATGCAGGGAGACTTTTATGCTCTTTTCATGGTCTAATCTATAAGGTGTGAATACAACTGAAGAATAAAAATGTTATGCTCAGGTTTAGCTACATATGGACATTGTCAATGCAAAAGTCTTGGAAGAGTACAAGTAAGTTCTGGTCCTATGGAAATCAGCAGCCACACAATACCCTGCATATTACAAGTCAGGATTAACATCTGCAAACTCAGCTTGTTTTATGAAGTAACAAAAATGAATAGTAGGCATGAAACTGCACACTGTACTGAACAGAAAAACAATTGTGTGAATATAAGGCAAATACATAGAGGTTGGATCTACTAGGCATTTTCATTCAGACTGGTTTTACTGCAGGGACCCTCCAGTAGGTACATCATGTGCTTGTTTTGAGGGTGTCAAACGTGGGAGGAACACTTGCCTTTGACACAGTTGTTAAGGCAGAGGAATGGGAGTTACTTCTGCTGATTTGTCACAGTATGCTCATAGCATGTCAACTGTGAGGTATTGCAGTACTGCTTGCTCTAGGTTCCTCACTGAGCCCAATGCATTGCATGCACTCTCAGGGGATCAGGAGGGAATGTGCTGAAGTAAAGCATGCACGCACCTGGTATAATTTATGTGCCTGGCCGCTTTGAACGAGCTCAGGTTGAGGCCCTGTAAGTCCACCTTTTTCTTCGGATTCAAAATTGACTCAAAGTTTAGTTGACCCCTCAGTGACTTTCTGATTTCTGTTTAGTGCGTCACACCAGACCATGCGCAAAAAGGAGAATGGCCCAGGCCCCGTCTCTGTCAACAGCAAGCCTCTGTAAGCCAGAGACGTGGAGGTAAACTCAGTACTACACTACAGACACAGTGAGGTTTCTAACCATAATATCTTTAAACGTTAAAAATATGTGGTTGATGCCGTTAGCAAAATACAACCATTGCAGTATACAACAGACGTACAAGAATAAAGCATTTGCTAAGCTCACAAATGCCACCTGTCCACTGTATTATGTTTCGGTTTTAATACTACAAAGTGTGTGGGTGATACTCTCCAGGTATGTCGAGATTATTTCACAGCGCCAAGTTTATGCAGTAGTTTCTTCCCTTTCGAGAGCAGTCCATTTTTCCTTTTGGAAGAGTACATGTCCAGTGGGGCCCTGATGGGACTGCCGGACCCCATGTTGGCAGGGCCAGAACCAGGGATGAGTGGATGCACTGTGGGAGAAGCTGCTCTTCTGGGCACACTTGATTTTTCCAGTGGAACCTAATGGGAAACCCGTAAGGGACAGTTGAGGGTGTTAAAAAGCCAGATGTGTCTCACACCTCAGTCACTACTCCCCTCCTTCTCTTTTCTGTCTCAGCAGGGTCACCATAGCACTGAAGTCTACCTCCCTGGATGTGCACTCAGGTATAGATACACACTCCCTCCCTCCTCCCTGCCTCTCTCCCACCTCTGTCATGTAGAAAGTGTTTTTGTTTGTGTATTTATGAAGCTATGAATAAGCTACAGCAGATTTTGAGGATGACATTGGCTAATGTAAGGTGAAACATCTCCCAGCAGGGCAGTTGTTCTCACAAAAACAGATGCATTAGGGGACAAGTGGGACACATTTATATCACATTCACTTTCCTCCTCCTTATATAAATATAAATATTTACTGTACAAATACAACTGTGTTACAGAGAAACTACTAGTCACTATTCCTTTTTTGTAATCATGAGCTAAAAGGCTTCTTTAAATTGCACTTTGGAAAAATAGATGGTTAAAGATTCATTGCAGATATGCAGTATGTGTGAATAAAATGTACCCACTAGAAAATATGAAAATCATTTTCCTGAATTTAATGTTTTTGTTGTATGTAAAGTGAGACTATGTAACCTCTGCAAGAACAGCAGAACAGTCTTCCACTTTCGAACTGAAAGCTGAATTCCTAAGAAGGAAACCACAGTCCTGATATGACCAGATAAGATGAACTTTATTACCATTTGCCCTGATACCTTTGCGTTGTAAATCTTGAGCAGCTTCATTCAGTCAATCATAACAGAAAAGATAACGAAGAAACAACAAAGAGGTAACAACAATGCAGTCAATTTACATAAACCCCTTGTACTGTACATACAACCTCTTATGTTCCACAGAGTTGTTTCTCATGAAATTATTTGAGGTCCAGAGGTAGATGTTTTGTCCGTGGTATGTTAAGTATGTGTCCAGAATGTGCGAGTCTTTGTGACAGCGATGGGTAATAGGGTTGGGTGTATCTCATGTCAGCTTTGAAGAAAATGTGACTGGGATGATGTGGGTCTCTGAGGATGGCTCGTACTTTGGATCAGCAGCGGTTACAGTATAATGATTCAAGAGATGAACCAGTGATCCTCTCTGTGGTCTTCACCACACATTAGAGAGCTTCCCCTGTCCTTTGTGTAGTGTTGCCAAACCACAGTGATCCCTCTTGTCAGGATGCTCTCTATTAGTCCGCTTTAGGCCTGTGTGAGGGGTCAGTGGCTCAGTGTGGCTTTTTTCAGTCCAAATGAAGTAGAGCTGCAGAATGAGCTCCTTGGTCTTTCCAGTGTTCAGGACCAAATCATTCTCTTGCCCATAACTGATGATGTTCTCCACCAGCTGCCTGTATGGTGTCTTGTTGTTGTTGTTGCTGATGTGTCCTGAAATGGTTTTGTCATCTGCAAATTTGAATATGAAGTTACTGTCTATGGAGGATGTGCAGTCATGGTTGTACAACGAGAACAGTTTTGCACCCAGACAGAAGCCTTGAGGGGTTCCTGTGCTCACTGGCTTCAGCAGATGTTCTGGTTCCCACCCTCACCATGTGCAGTCTCTGTCAAAGGGTCCAGTATGCTGTTGCAGCTGCAAGTGGATAGCCCGAGTTCCGTTAGTTTAGACACAAACTTAGTGGGACGGACCGTATTAAAGTCTGAGCTGTAGTCTAGAAACAGAAGGTGTGCATTGGTGTTCTTGTTTGAGTCAAGGTGTTGTAGAGCAAAGTGTATGATCAGGGCTACTGCGTCGTTCACTGACCTGTTGGGTTGGTATGCAAATCGTAGTGTCTGGCATTATGTTGCTGATGGATTCCAGCACTAGCTTTTCCAGGCACTTCATGGCTACAGAGGTGAGTGCTACTTGGCAAAAGTTGCTCACATTGCTGGCAGTAGATCCCTTTGGAACCAGCACAATGATGCTGAAGTGATGTGGCACAACTGCCTGTGTGAGGGAGGTGTTGAATATGTCTGTGTTGACTCCAGCTAAATGAGCAGCACAAGCTCTGAGATTCTTGGGTGATGCTCCATCCGGAACAGCTGATTTATGGGGGTTCACTTGCTGAAAAGTCCCGAAAACCTCAGCCTGTCACCTGAAGGACACGCTCATTGCTGCTGCATGGTGCTTTCTGGGGGGAGTCATGATTTTTCTGGTCAAAGTGGGCATAGAATGCATTTAACTTGTCTGGGAGTGTGGGGTCCATATTGTCAGCAGTGAGCGTGACCTTCTTACCTTTGCAGTTACTGACTGCTTGAATGCCCAGCCACATTCTTCTTGTGTTCGTGCCAAGCTCACACTGATTCAGCTTTTGGAAGTGGTCCTCCTTTGCTGCCTTAATGGATTGCTGTAGTGCATAGCTTCTCCAAATTTAAAGGCCATTTTCCTTTCCTTCATCTTTATGTGGATGTCTCTGTTGAGCCATGGCTTTTGACCAGCAGTTTACAGAGCCTGATAGCGAACCTTAGGTTAATAATGCTGTACAAATTCACTGACCTCATGATGCATTTTAGCTGAATGATAAAAAGTAGTGTAGACATTTACTATTATGCCACAACTGTCATTTGTAACCAGTGGTTGCTGCTCAGAAGATGCATAGTCTCACTTTAAACCAATAAATATTGTTTGGTGGTCTAATCGATAGATCTTAGCTCACAAAATTAGCACTGACTTGAAAATGCTGACTGATTTGACAAAAATGTGTTTATTTATATTTCAGAACTATTTTTACCATTTCACATTATTCTTTACACACAAGACAAGGGGTCCTAAATTTGGCTTGAGATTTACATAAAAACTGCAAAACCAAATCAAAAACTAAAAAAAAAAAAAAAAAAACTTTTATGCTTTAGGTTTTTACTTAGAATTGGCCTGTTGTCTGCATTTCTGTTATAGGTTGCAGTGTGTAACACTGGGCTGAAAGAAGTGAAAATGTTATCATCACTATTCTTTTTAATAATTGGGGGTAATTGTGCAACAGTGGCCTTTTAGCATACCATGAGTTACAGCAGGAGACTTATTGCAGGAGACGAACATTGTCAGGTACAACACTCAGAGAAACAACTGAAGATACCATGCTTCTTGTCTGATGCATTGCCTAGGGTTTCTATCTCTTATCAATGAACAATACTGTGTGGTTTGGGTTAAACAAAGATTCCTAAAAGCTGTATCTCAGGGCATAAAACTGTTAAAGGAATATTATATGAAGTATACATGGTGCGTACCAGAAACTAAGGGAACCCATGTCATCTGCATTAGACGAGGGGACTGTAATTTTGGTATCCTCAGTTGCTCACTTACGTGACGGAAACAGAGCCTTTAAGGTGTGAAATGAACACTCTTCTTCTGTTTTGCCAAGCGGGTGAGGAAAAGAAATAAAAAAAATATATATATGGTGATGGCATTTCAATAGTTTGCACTATGACAATGGCAACTTATAACACAAGGAAAGAAATATCTGATGACACCTATTAATATTTCAACAAGGGCATTATTTGTAAACACAAAAATAACATCACATATTTACATTTAGGAAATAATTACTTGAGATTATTCTCTGATGGCCACATAGGCTAAGTGACCTTTGCGTGCTATTGTACAAGAAAGCAATATACAAAACAAGGCGTTGAAGAGCAGATACAAAAGTTGTACTACACTAGACTTTATATAAAATGTCAGAGGTCATGCATCTGCACTATAGAACATGCTGAGCTACAGACTACATAGCTCACCTTTCAGTACAACAAAACTATGTACTCTATTAGAAATTATTTGAGAAACACAGAATATATTCATAAAGCATCTCTTAGAATGCTAAATATGCATGTGCAAAAATGGCTAACTGCTGTTTTTCAAGACGTGACAGAACAAGTAAAAACTCCCGGGAGTTTCTCCCATCCATGTTACTCTCATTGAGAATGCTTTATGAATACTATATATTCATCTTTTCCACAATGCAGAACCTCCCCCTTTCACAGCAGTAAACATGAAAAATAAAAGTACCTCTCTCAAGTAGTTTTAAAGTTTTATTTTCTCATAGATCTTAGACATCTATTTATTTACAGTGTAATGCTCCAAAGTCAGAAATCCCATTGTACTTGTATCAATGAGACGCGCGCACACACACACACAGACATGAAACTAAAGGAGATAGAGGGAACTGAAAAGAGTAAATGGATGACAGGGCTAGTACTGCAAAGGAGCATGTACCCTTTTGGTCTTTATCCGTGCTGGAGTGTCCTGGGGGTATCGAGATGGTGAGTCAGTGAGAAAAACCTCTACATCATCAGGCACTTCTTCTAGAAAGTTGGAAGGAACAAGTCCCTTGTGTCCGTTGAGCTCACCCTGTGGAGTACACAGTGATAGTGAGACTCACCCTGGCCATATTTAAATGTTACCCTGAAATGAAACAATTTCTCCTTGTGCTTTGAGAATACATATTTCACTTTAAAGCTGCAATAAAGTCAAAATTGCCCTATGGAGTTTTCCTGTAAACCAACAAGTTATGTTTACATTTAGTGTTATTTACTACATGACGTGTACCATTGGGGTACTGAAACCATTTCATTCCTCAAAGTGCTTCTTTTATTATTCCAGCTTCTCTACCCTGTTTTCAAATTCAGGTCCATAAATTGGCCCTGCCTACCGCCTAGCCAGGGTTATAAGTTGGATGAGTGGGAGAAGCCAGGACAGTGTTACCTGGTTCATGGTCGAGATGGCGCCGCTGTTCATGGCCTGCTGTCAGCCTCTCCGGTGTATGTTACTGATTTCACTGTTTGTGCTGTTTCTGTCATCTGTCACTTGGAATGCATCAGCTCTACTCATGTACGATCATGCCGCCCTTCTTAATATTCGTTCGTCTATGGAAAAGTGTCCCAGTCTAACAGGCTGGGATAACTCAAAGACTGTCCCACCATTACTGGCGAAGATACCAGCATATTTTCGGCGTTCTTACGTCGTCTGCTCACGAAGGAAGCGTACCAGAAAACGAGGGAAGAGGAGTGGGGTGGGGTGGCTGTCCGCCTAAAGGCTCTGCTTTTGCGGATGCCTCTGACCATCACCGTGGACCCGGCTGGTGGTGTTGTGGTCCTAGCATTACTCGCTGGCCTGGCTTCATTTGTGGTTGGCCTCAGCCCATAGGCCTGGATTTCTCGGCCCCTCATCTATATCGCCAGCTTTCAGGACATCCGAAAAGGGGTGTAAATTTGTCTAATCTTCGACCGCTGAAACGTGTGTCTCAGCCACCAAACCCTGTTTTATCGATTTAAATGGGTTTGATTAATGTTAGATCGCTGACTAACAAGACATTCATTCTGAATGACTTTTTTATATCATGGAAACTGGATTTCATGTTGCTGACTGAGACGTGGTTAAAGGAAGGTGAGCATTGCGCATTTTCTGAGCTTCTTCCACCTGGTTGTTCCTTCCTCAGCTC